TGAACCCCAGTTGCTGATGACACACGCTTTGCGTTTTCCCCGGGAACAGACTGTCATATTATCGCCGTGAAGCCTGAACACCAAAGAAAGGGCGTAGGCGCCCTTTTGACGAAATGGGGCCTCGACATGGCCGAGCTGGCGGGACTTCCCGTCTACCTCGAGTCGTCTGAAGAGGGATTCGGCCTCTACAAACGCCTGGGTTTTGAAGTGCTCCAAGACAAAATCGTACACCGCGGAGGGCTGGTGGGCAAGGATAAGGACGTCGAAGTTCCTCTGATGGTGAAGATGCCGTCTGCCGCCAAGGGATTGACTTTCGAAGAGTGGCGTGCTCAAGGATACCCGTCTTTCCAATAAGCATATATTTTTTTTGTGTGGCTGTGTTGGCTGGCTGGACGCAGTATCCGTACGCTTTTGGACGTGGAGTCTGCGATGTCAGCAGGATTATTAGATATTACCTTTTTGGAGTATTGGGAGGATGGATCCTGTGTAACGACTCAATGAGTGTCATAGACTAAAGGTAGACGTTGGATGTTCTGGAAGCGCCAAGACAAGAAGCGCCCAGGAGACAAAGTGCCAAGACGAAGCCAAGACGAGGCAAATCTGCAAGTCAATCTGAAAGAAAGGAAAGTTGTTTGTACCTGGGTTATTGTGCGATGGTGCATGGCTTGGCTTGGCTTTGTATTGTATTTGACGAAGTATTAGCCGTGCCCTTGCTCGCATGAAAAAAAAAAGAGTCGCTTGGCCTTTCACCCTGCGTGGCCGAGGGACGCGCCACACCGCACCCGACGACTGCAAGTGGGAGGAAACGGGATGAGGGGGTGGTACCGTGGTTCACGGGGTCGGGTAAGGGAGGGGGTTGATGGGTGAAGGTGAAGGGTGATGGACGATGCCGCAATGGTCCAGTAGCAGATGGAATCATGGCGTGAGAGAGACAGAGGCGCTAGAGGCAGAGGTACCGATACTGGCGGCTTGTTTTCTGCCCATCTGCCCACATCGGTCCCAAGGTTAGAAGGTGGACGAAGAAGGGAGGGGGGTGGACAAATGCAACCTGACGTCTTTGGCGAGGCGAGTTGACGGCGATCGGTGGGTTGGCGTGGAGTTAATCTTCAAGGATGATAGAATCTGAAGAATTGTCCCGAAGTCGGAGAAGGGGTGACTGGGAGGGTGTGAGGGAAAGAAATGCAGCGGGACATTTTCGGGGGAACGAAGGTACGTTGGTACGTACGTCGGTACGGAGAATCCGTACCTTTTCTTGATGCGGTACTGGAGAAAATGTGGAAGGAGGGTTCCAGTGACTCTGATCCACGGGTGCCCTGTAAGGGAAGATTGGGAAGGTACCTCAGACGATGTGGGAAGCTGAGGAAGGAGTGGTGGTGGGAAGCGAGAGAAAATTTTGCACGCTGAAGAACGTGAGTGAAATGCTCCTTCCCTAATCTTATCTGATCCAAGATTTGATTGATTAGATCGAGCACTGAACCTATCCGAGGTGGTGACAGGGGTGGTGGCGGGTACAGAGGGGTCTCTTTGGCTGCCATGTGGGGTCTCACTATTTTCTGAGTGGCTGCACCGCTGCAGTCCCGGCGCAACAGGCGATGGAGGGGAAGGAGCTGCAAACGCCATTGACCAATTTGAGACACGACCCTAAGTTCCTCCACATTCAATGCAATCACACATGTCAACTTTGTCAAGACTCGACAGCATCCTTGGACCTTGGACCTTACTCTGACACACCCACACGTACGATCCATCGCGATCCCACTCCTCCCACGCTCTAGACTCGCTGTCACCCCTCCGAATACACACGAATACGTGACAAAGTGACAAAGTCCGCTCGCTGGCAAGCACACATTTCCTACCAAGTCTCGTGGCTCCATCGAACCCATCTGCTGGTTTTGGTGTGTCACTTGTGTGTCCTCACATTGCCAACCGAGTCGCCCTGTCATGACGCGAGTGGCCTTTTCGACCATTCGTATACGCCCCTCAACACTGGGTATACTCGAGAATACTCCAGGTACTTGTCGTGAAACGATTGCCCGTTCGGTCTAGCCTGTCGCTGACTGCATACGCTGGGCAGGGTGAGAACCCCCAAGGAAGAAAAGAAGCAATCCCAGCTAAGGTTCTGCGCCGTACGGATACTTGCGTGCAAGTTCGCAACGTCCCGCTGTGTGGCGCCCCGTCTTCGTGGCCGGCAAAGCAGCACGGCCAACACCTTAACGGGCTAAAGTCCAGCTCAGTGGCATCGGGGGGTGAAGAGGCCTCGCTTGCGGCTTGCCTCCTTGCTAGATCCAGATGATCCCCGAAAGCCGTTCCTCGGTGACGCAGATGCAGGGCCCTTTGGACATGGGTCGTTTTTCCCATATGGAACCAGGCCAGTTATTTCTGCCATGCGACCCGAGAGGATGGCCGGCGTTGCACCAAGATCGCGGTGACACTTTTTGGACCTGCCATAGACAAACATTTCGATCAAGACCAAGACGTTCAATTTGGCTTCTGTAGTAATTTCGTTAAGCAATTGAAGCATTTATTCGGTAATTCTTTGTCGTCACAATGGCCGCAGAAGCATCAACAGCCCCGGTATCCGAGCCTTTGGCTCCTGAGCAGAAGCTGTCTATCCTCCACGGACCCCGCGATCCTCCTCTGGTTGACCTTAGTCTCGGCGAGCTGCTGGAGCTTCAGACCTACCAACACGGCACCAAGGAGTGTTTGGTGATTCCTTGGACCGGTGCACGATGGACCTACAATGAGCTCAACCAGCAGAGCTTGCTGCTCGCGCAGGCCCTGCTCGAGATGGGTATCAAGGCCGGTGACAGAGTTGGTGTTATGGCAGGCAACTGCGAGCAATACGCCGCCATCTTCTTTGCAGTCTCTAGAATCGGTGCTATTCTTGTTATTCTGAATAACACGTACACTCCCAGCGAGGCCATGTACGCTGTTGAGTTCTCAGGTTCGTTACCAATCTAAAGTTGCTGATTCCGAGCTAACTCCGTTGTTCAGAATGCAAAATCCTCTTCACCACCAAGCAGATTGGCAGACTCGACAACACCAAGTTCTTGAGCCAAATAGCGAACAAGATCAATGGGCCCAAGATTATCATGATCCGGGGTGACACGAGCGGATACCAGACATACGACGACCTCATCAAGTCGAGCTCAAGGCAAAGCCCGAGAGAGCTTCACCTGGCCATGAGCAAGGTGGTGCCGCATCAAGTGTGTAACCTCCAGTTCACCAGTGGTACCACCGGCCGTCCCAAGGCCGCCATGCTTACCCACCAGTAAGTGTGATCAAGCTGTTGAAAAAGGTTGAGTAGGCTAACTTTGGGTTCAGCAACGTCGTTAACAACGCTCGTTTCATTGGTGATCGCATGCGCCTCACTCCGGACGACGTGCTTTGCTGCCCTCCCCCTCTGTTCCACTGCTTCGGTCTCGTCCTTGGTCTCCTGTCTGTCATCACACACGGTGCCAAGATCGTCTACCCTGCGGAAGTTTTCGACACCAAGGCGACGCTCAAGGCCATCCTCGAGGAGGACTGCACGGCACTCCATGGCGTGCCTGCCATGTTCGACTCCCTGTTCCAGGCGGCACCTGATGACTTCAAGTCATCCAAGATTCGCACCGGAATCGTGGCTGGCGCCCCTGTCCCCAGATATCTGATGGAGTTGATGGTCAACCGTCTGGGTATGAGAGAGTTCACCAGTAGCTACGGTCTGACCGAGGCCTCGCCTACCTGCTTCAACGCCTTCACCGACGATGCCTTGGGCAAGAGACTGACCACCGTCGGTACGCTCATGCCCCATGCCTCGGCCAAGATTGTCGACAGAGATGGCAACGTTGTGCCCATGGGCCAGCGCGGAGAGCTTTGCATGGCCGGGTACCAGTTGCAGGCTGGCTACTGGAACAACTCGGAGAAGACCAACGAGGTCATGGTCCGTGACTCTGCAGGTGTCTTGTGGCTGCACACTGGTGACGAGGCCGTCTTTGACGACGCCGGATACTGCTCAATCACCGGCCGCTTCAAGGACATCATCATTCGAGGTAAGCCATACATGTCCGTCGCGCGACAACAGCATAATGTACTAACACAACTTTCTCCCTTCAGGTGGCGAGAACATCTACCCGCTCGAGATTGAAGAGCGCCTCATGGCCCACCCGTCCATCTCCCAGGCCATCGTCGTCGGCCTCAAGGACGAGCACTACGGCGAGGTCGTCGGTGCCTTTGTGCAGCGCGCCGAGAACGCGGACAAGCCCTCGTTCCAGGAGCTCAAGGACTGGGTCCGCCAGCGCCTCGGCGGCCACAAGAGCCCTGCGCACATCTTCTGGCTCGGCGAGGACGGCGTGCCGGCCAACGTGCCCCTCACGGGCAGCGGCAAGGTGCGCAAGTTTGAGATTGCCAAGGTGGGCGACGAGATTCTCAAGAAGAGCAGAACCGTCTCTGCCAAGTTGTAAGATTGCGGTCCTCGTAGGATATCTTGCTGAGGACGGCGCGGAGTGTGTTCAATGAGTGATACCACACAAAAGTTGTCTTTTAACCATTTTCGTTGTTACTATTTCATGTCGGGCGATGGCTTCTGTTTTTTCGGGTTTTGGAATTTGGCTTAGATTTTTTTTTTTTTTTTTAGATCTACAGGATTACTGAACGCGTAGTTGAATTGACTTTCTTTCTCGTCACACTCCCATGTGGATTTAGCTTGTGCAAGTCATCCTCAAAGGCTCAAACTTTGTTTTTTTTTTTATCTGTCTTCTCAAAGGCTAATTGTTTTCCGACCATCCCTTCTGTAACATTCGGCCCCCTTCAAAGATCGCATTTACTGGGAGTATGCTTACCCCGATCAATGCTTGGCGTCCAAAAACCCGATTGCGTGATGAGAAACCCGATGGTTTGGGAGAACCCACCCAAGTGAGGCCAAAAATTGAATCCTTCGATTGAGGCCAAATTCGACTACAATCGTCTGTGAGACTGTGACTCATTTTCAACCCTCTTTTTTGATCTCATTCAGGAAGGTCAGGAATTTTCATATTGCCGTAGCTTTTTCATCTGATCTTATTGTAAGACTCATTCGGGTCAAACTAGTGATCTCAATTGAGTAATAGGACTATTTCGACATGTATATGTGCGCAAAGTTCCGGATCTGAATGCTGAATATAAGTGACCGGAGTCCAGCTCCAATTGAAACGATAACCAAACCAACACAACAACAATCGTCAATTGCCCAATCGTCCATCATATTCCCGTCCGAAACTTGCCACCAAGCCTCAATCAACCAACTCCGTTCAACAAGAAGGGGGAACAAATACAAGCACGTCACTACAATGTCTCAATTCAACCACGAACCAAACTCACAATCCTCATCCCCCTCCCCTCTCCTCCTCTCCCTCGCAAAATCCTATCCTCACGACCCAGCCCACTTACACAAAGTCCTCCTCCCGCAACTTACCCACCGCCTCCGCCTCGCCTCCCTCTGGTCCATCACGCCCGGCACCCGCGTCCTCGACATAGGCTGCGGCCAAGGCGACTCCGCCCTCGTCCTTTCCCACGCCATAGCCCCACTCTCCATCACCGCCGATGGTGACACCAACAACGTCAGTCCGTGCCCGGCCCCGGGCTCCGCCCCGGTAGGCCACATCACAGCCCTAGACCCGGCCCCCGGCGACTACGGCAGCCCCTACACCCTCGCCCAATCCCAATCTCATATCTCTTCGTCCCCCTATGGCGCAGCAATCACCTTCCACCAGTCCGACGCGCCGTCCTACCTCGCATCGCACCCTTCCGAGTCCTTTGACGCCGCCACGCTGTGTCATTCGCTATGGTACTTCCCCTCCGCCGATGCGATATCCTCCCTCTTTGAAGCCCTCTACGGCTCCAACATCACCATGCTCTGTTTCGCGGAATACGCCCTCCAAGCTCGGAACCCGGCGCAAAAACCGCACGAACTGGCCGTCGCGGCGCAAAAGCGGTTCTACGAGCTACGGGCCGGGGCGGAGAAGGGGTTTAGTCTGGATCAGGGCAACGTCCGCGGCGCGCTTGCGCCCGAGGAGATTGTGAAGTTGGCGGAGAGGGCTGGTTGGAAGGTTAGGGAGAGGGGTGTTGTTGATACGCCTGGGTTGCTGGATGGGCAGTGGGAGGTTGGGGCTGCGGTTGATTCGTCTTGGGCTGAGGAGGTCGTCGCTGAGGGGTTAGGGAAGGGTGCGGAGGAAGAATTGTTGGGATATGTGAGGGAGATTCGGAATGCGGTTGAGGAGGTTAAGGAGAGTGGTGGGAGGATTGAGACGATGGACGCTGTTTGGGTTGTTATGGAGCGTTGAAGTATGTGGTTTTATCAGATGTCTTGCAAAACTCGACGGAGAAGATTGAACACGAGGAACATATATTCTCCAAGACTATTCAGTAGCGATGTCATCTCTGCCTGATTATGATTCCTATTCCCAAGCATCGATATCGACCCTTCGATAACTGCCTTTAAGCTACATTTCCTTTGGTCTGCGGGACACCTCAAGAGATAAGGAGCTCAAAGTGTGGTCTGGAGAAAAGGAACACATGAGGTATCAAATGGCGGTAGTCACCCAGAGAGAGGAGGGAGGCATGCAGCATGGTCGCCGGATTGTATACAACTATTGTGGAAGTGGCCCATGCTCGACGGAACCGCCGTTATCAAGCATTCCTCTCAAGACTGGCTCTGCACCGAAGACGTCCTCAGGCCAGGTAGTTGCAGACCATAAGAGAACAGAGCATCTCACCAACCACTTACCCTACTCTGACACAGTTTGCTCCCACCTCGTCTTACACTGCTCGCTAAATACAAACGTCGTTCCTACTCCTAACGCTTATGACCAATATCAGGCAAGAGGAGGCACTCATGTACACCATTTTCGCACCGAGGTACCCAAATCAAGGTAAGTAAGCAGGAACCTGCCTGTAAGTTTCGTACTTTCCATCCCAATAGGTTTCTTCATGGGCCACCTGCTCTACTATTTGGCCTCTTCTCTTCATCTCCATGAAAGAGGCTCAACGTTATTTGTCTCACTGCATACCCGCCAAGATCCCACAAGGCTGCACTTGCAATCAGCGACTTGCCCGCAGATCTGATCAACGGGTTCTCCCACCGCGTGGTTGTCTCGGCGCGACTATCCGGCCGGACTCCGGGACCCGGATCCCGAGGACACCTTTAACCTTGAAGGCGATGCGCAAGTTTCCATCAGCTCGGAAATGCCCCAGAGTCAGACACACAGACATCATCGTCTGGGACCACTGGCGGGGGCCATGAGGATATCAGACGAACGAGACGACCCAATGCATCGACCCGACAGAATGCAATACGACATTCTCTATGGCACTGTGTGGACAACTGGACATAGGATACGACGGCGTGTCCCGAAGATCCGAGAGAATATTCGTCGGAACGAATGTCATTCGACGTGGAACAATCAGCAATACCTAACAAAAACAGGGGACTCTCGCAGGCGTTGACGGAATTTGACGGTCGGCGTTAACGATGATCTGGGTGGCGCACATCGGTCCGGAGCGTCAATTGCCGCAAGGGACTTGTTGCAGGTCCAGTGCAAGAGCTGCAGAAAGTCTCAGCCATCGACGTGCAGGAAGACGAACCAGCTTTCGTCGATCTGGTACGAAGGCTTGCCCAAGCACCAAGCTTGCCAAAGTACCGCTCGATGGATGGCTTGAGATCAACGACGCTATTACCTAGCCCACTTGAACCCCATGACGGAAGCGCCTTGGCCGAGAAACGAGTACGATGCCACATTCTGAATCGCGTGGCGGCAGACCAAGTTATCAATCTCTGTGGAGTTGAGCTGTCCTAGAGTGGATTGTGGACGTGTAGCTGTGGACAACAGGTGCAGCTGTCTGTGGGACTGGGACGTGGGTGAACAACCGGTCGGAGCAACCCCGTATTGCGCAGGTGCGTTCACGAATTCCATGGCTGTCTACACTTCTGAAGAGCATCACGAACATTCCAAGCAACTCCAGAGTCGGCGGCGCAGCTCGCCTCAGTGCGGGAACGGCGCGGTTGACGGGCGGCAGATGTGACTTGGCAGGTGGGGGAGGCTCCGTTCAAGGAACGGCTTGAGATCCGACGGAGAGAAGAATTATCGAGGCACACGGGTGAATCCTCAAAACTTACGAGTGAGCTGAAGGCGTCACTGGCGTTCCGATTCCCAAGCAGGTGTGGCAGGGAATGGGTCGTAGTGGAGACGAAGAGAGTCACGTACCCTGATCTGAAGAGGTGCGCCTTTTTACCAAGGATCAGTCCAAAGAGGGTACTTGGACCGAACGCAACCCCACGCGAGCTACCTATCTCTACATACACGCCCTCTTAGACGAGGAGATGATGAGATGATGGGATCCACGGGTAGGTTCGGAATGTTGAAGCAGTGAACCATGCTGCAAGTATCAAAACCAGCCTTAGCGTATCCGTAAGTCCACTCCCTCTGCCCCGCCTGTGAGAGAAAAAATTTGCCTTGATCTTATCAGATCCATCATCCAGCTTGCGGCGGCCACCGGTCGGCTTTGAGTGGGCCCACGAAGCTCCGAGGCCGGAGCTATGACCGAACTTGGTTCTAATAAAGTTATCAGATCCGCTAAGACCAGGTCGGTGCAGCCACCTTCCTTGGAGGAAGAAGAAAAAGAAGGGGAAAAAAGCCGGTACTTTTATAGGTACCTACCTAGTAGGCGCCACGCACGCAATTGACGGCAATACATCAACTACGAGGGACGACCGCTACGAACCCCATCTCCATAAACCCCCAATGCTCTCTTGGTTATCAGATCTATTCTGAAGGGGGCACAGGCTGGGAAACTCAAATTTTCTTCGGAGCATTTCGTCGCCTACCCTGGGAACCCTTCTGGCCCGAGGCCTCGGCGTTTCGCCGTGGACCACCTCAGTGATGGAGGGGTGAAGAGTGAGGCCCCCCCCTCGACATCGACCATATCCGCGTAACTTGACCTTCCATGTACATTTTTGTACCCTTTTCTTCGCGTATAGACGCACGCCCCCGAGCTACCGTGGAGTCGAGGTACAAGTGAACCCCGCCGTTGAACTTCACTCTGACCACCACCCCGTGCCCCAGAAGTTGTGATGGATGGTGTGCCGGAGACGATGTCATGGGCCGATCCTGGATGCTGGAGCTACCAGTCGCTTCGCTTCCTCGCCTGAAGCTCTCTTGTGTCGCGCGCCCTGCAGCCCATTGAAGAAGAAGAAGAAAAAAAAATTGTGAGCCATGGCAAGGCATGGCGTGGCATGGCGGCAGACACGCAGAGACAAGTGAGCGGCGGGCTTCCGTTTTCCAATGGACCAGGATCATCATGGCATTGGACTCTTGGAGACCAGGGATCCAATGGCGTTAACTCGGTATGTCTTCCAAAGGAGTAGGCGGTGGTGACATGAATGCCCGTGAAGCTCCGAGCTCGAGGCTCAACCTTTGGCAACCTTCTCCGTGAACTTTTGCTTTCCTATCTGTCCCTTTACAGAATCTCGGAATCAAGCATCGAGGAACCTTTTTCGCGTTTTTGATACCCTCCTCGCAAAGCCTGTTCCTATTCCCAATCCTCTTACACTGTAATCCATCAGTTTGGGGATAGACATCACACATCAACCGCAATCATGTCGGCACCAATCTCCCTGTCCGCTGTCTCCTCCAGCGAGAGTATCATTAAGCTCCCTCACCCGTACCACGCCGAGTACGCTGTCCAGCGCGCCTTCAACCACGACACCTTTGCCGGCAAGACGTCAGAGGGCGGCCTTCACTTCTACCGCCTGGCACCGCTCGCCGGTCAGGACAACAACACCAAGAAGCAGACGACTCCCCTCCCCGAGCGTCTTCACAGCGAGAACCTCTACTTCTCCGAGCCCGCGGACCTCAAGTCGAGCGAGCTCCCGGCCGACTCCAACAACAGCGCCTGGGCCCGCGCCCGCCGCTCCCCGAGCACCGTCTTCTCGTGGGACGGCAAGACCAAGCCAACGCTCGCCCAGGCCTGGCTCCTCGTCTACGTCATCTTCATCCTCCGCCCCAACGAGGAGCTTGTCCGCCTCGAGCTCCGCGGCGCCAGCGCCGACGTTCTCGGCCAGCAGCTCCGCGATGTCCTCCTCGCCATCGAGCACCCAACCCAGACGGACGCCCAGAAGCCCGCCGCCTCGGCAGAGCAGTCCACCGTCGTCCTCCTCCGCTCAGCCTTTTGGCAGGGCGCCGGATCGCCCTTTGGCCCCCGTCCCGTCTGGCTGCCGCAGGAGTCCCCCGCGGCCCTCGACAACCCTCTGTCGTCGTACCCCCTTACCCCTCTGCAGCACACCATGACGGCGGTCCCGGCGTCGGACCCGTCCAACCCGAACCTCTACCAGCAGGCGTGGCACCCGATCCGCCCGGCCAAGCCCGCGCCCGGAGCGACGGTGTACAGCCGCTGGATCCCGCACCTCAAGGAGACGTTCAGCATGGTGGCGCTTGACTACCGCAACGCGGAGCACCTTCGCCTGTTCCACGAGTGGCAGAACGACCCGCGCGTGTCGCAGGGGTGGAACGAGACGGGCACGCTCGACCAGCACCGCGAGTACCTGCGCAAGATTGACGAGGACCCGCACCAGTTTGCCATTCTCGCCGCGTGGGAGGATACGTTCTTCGCCTACTTTGAGGTCTACTGGGCCAAGGTACGTCTTCTGTTGTCTCTCTCTCTCTAGCACACGACATGAATATTGGGAATCACTAACAATCATCAACAGGAGGATAAGCTAGGCGGCTACTACGACGCCCAAGACTGGGACCGCGGCCGTCACTCCCTGGTCGGCGACGTGCGCTTCCGGGGACCCCACCGCGTGACGGCGTGGTGGTCCTCGCTGATGCACTTCCTCTACCTCGACGACCCGCGCACGACCTGGGTCGTGGGCGAGCCCAAGAAGACGAATGACACGGTGCTCATGTACGACTTCATGCACGGGTTCGGGCTCGACAAGTTTGTCGACCTGCCGCACAAGCGCAGCGCGTTCGTGCGGTGCTCGCGCGAGAGGTTCTTCCAGCTTTGCCCGCTGGGTGATAATGAAAAGGTTGTGGGCGGTATGAGGATCCAGCTTGTGCCCAAGTTGTAAGAGGACACATTAAATGATACTACGTACTTGTGTGTGTGGATTAGTCTTGTCTGAAATCTAAAAGTGTTGCGGTATGTGGGCGTGGGAATAATGTACATAGAAGATATGCAGACAAAGTTAGGAAGGTGCCATTTTGGTGAAGAAGATTGTGTCACTACTTTTGTTTTCTTTCTTGGTAAGGTAGTGCAATCTTATCTTATCTGATTGATTATGCCTCAGTGACACTAATCTGCGTGACCTCACCCATTGCTCTGAACACTTGACAGCGACACACGAAAGAATAACGGAAGAGCCTCTAGACAGTAGACACTCATGAGAAACATCATTTGCATTTCAAAGTCTAGCCAATTTAGTCTAAACTAACCCAAGAGACGAACCTATTGCGTCGTCTTTCGTTTGCCATCATTTACTCCCAAGAACACCTTTGAAACCCAAGAATAAACCCTTAACATCCATTTTATGTTTTTTGTTTTGTTCATAAGCAACTCGAGAGTCAAGAGTCGGGGGCCTTTCCGAGACCGAGGTGGTTCCAGCAGACTATAGTGGGAGAACGCGCACGCAACGGTTAGCAATCAATCTATCTCTCACTGACGATGGGATAGGAGGAGAAGGGGGGGGGGGCGTGTGAAAGGGAGGAGAGGAACACAGAAGAGAGGGGAGGGTAGTAGACAGGGAAGGCCGGTCGGTGCCGGCGGGATCCAAAGAGTCCATCGGGGAAAAACCACAGAAAAAAAAAAAGTAACTCACTGGTAAAGCCGAGGTCGTCTCTAAAGTACGCGTGCATGACATCTTCACCCCACGTAGTCCCCACAACGGGCCCGCTCGCGACGGCCTTCTTCCCAATCGCCAACCCGATCATGGGCTCGACGGGGCCGAGCTCCGAAAAGGTAGGCTTGTGTGCACCCGACGTAAGCTTGGCGAGCATGAGCTGGTGCGCGTTGATGGCGGCGTAGTGACCCATGTGCATCGCCGTGCCGCACCGCTTGATACCGGGCCACAGGCAGATGTCGCCCACGATGATGTGGTCTTCCGCGTTGGGGACGTTGCCGTCGCCCTTGAGGACCATGTTGGCGTGGATCTTGACGTACCCTTCCTCGTCCTTGGCCGCGGCGGGGAGGTAGTCTGTGGATGGCACGCTGCGGGAGATGGCCATGACGACCTCGGACGCGATGAGCTTGTCGCCGTTTGTGAATTCAATCTCGTGGCGGGCGCGGCCGTTGGGCAAGGGGTCGAGCTTGTGCGTCTCCTTTACGCGGTGGTTCAGGAGCACGTTGACGCCCGCCTCGCGCGTGAGCTCGAGGGCCTTGTCCTTGCACTCGTCTGACAGACCCTCGGAGGAGAGAAGCTTGTCGCGGGAGTGAACAAGAGTGACCTTGGAGTCCGGCTCGACGAGCTTGAGCTCGGCGGCCATCTCGATGCCCACGGCGCCGCCGCCGACGACGACGACGCCATCGGGGGCGTTGCGGACGGCGTTGATCTGTTCCTCGGCCTCGAGGAGGTACTGCTTGCGGGTGAGGGACTGGGGCACGACCGGGAAGACGCGACGGAGACCGGAGGCGGCGACGAGGAAGTCGTAGGAGAAGTCCTGGGGTTGCTTGGTGGCGTGGTCGAGGACGGTGGCCGTCTTTGTGGCCGGGTCGACCTTGGAGACGGAGCCCTGGACGAAGCGGACGTTGGGGCGCTGGAGGGAGGCGATGTCCTCGAACTTGACCCAAGACTTTGCTGCGTATTTGGAGTCGGCGAAGGCGAGGGGGGAGCCGATTAGGTGGACTTTGGAGGGGTCATGTTAGCGGGGTGTTTGTGATATAGTCTGGAAGCTTCACGGTATCTTACAGAAGCCATCACGCTCGTCGACGAGGGTGATCTCGACGGGGACGTTCTTGAAGTCTGGGTGGTGCTCGTAGGGAATGTGAGCGAGACGAGGCGACTTGCCGCTGCTCAGGTCGAGCAGGTTCAAGGCGGTAGAGACACCGGCGTAGGAGAGACCTCCGATGACGAAGACCTTGAAGGGGGGGATAGCACCAGGAAGAGAGCCCATCTTGTCTGCTGTAGTCGGAAATGTAGAGGAGTCGTTGGAATCTACAACTACGTCTGAACGAGAGAAGGAGGAGGAAGAGGAAGAGGAAGAATAAGACCGGTTGGAGCTATAGGACTCTAGCGGCGAGGCTTGATGAAGAGGGAGGCAAGTAGAGGCGAGGGAAGGGAGTGAAGATGCAGATGGAGATGCAGAAGCAGATGCAGTGGCAGTTGCGGACGAGAACATTCGCATGGACAAGAGCAGACATAAAGATAGCGTCCGCCGGAAGCCGAGCGGAGGGCCTGCATCGGACCGGAGCTGTCGCTGGCGTGCTGGTAGTGGTGCTTGTGCTTGTACTCCGCGGGTGACGCTGCTCAGACTGGTTAAAGTTGCCCGTTGTTGGATCCTACCACCACCGACGAATCCTTTTCCCAACAAGGAGGACCCAATTCCAGATTCACCCCTCCAAGGCTGGGCCAAGACCAAGGAGGAGTAGAAGCAGGAGGGCGGCGAGGAACACGAGGAAAGGGGCAGTTCGAGCCGAGGGCTGGCTCGGAGAATGAGACGCCTTGCAGCCGACAGTGCTGGGCGAAGGATCCGCTTGGCCATGGCGGCGATCGCAAGGAAGGGGAACAGAAAAAAAAAGGAGAGGGAAGACGAGGTCAAGGGCCCTACGGACGGGACTTGAGTGACACTCTCACACCAGCGGCGTCACTGTCAATATGGAGGGGGAGAAATGGAAAGCGACAGCGGAGATGACGGCATGGCTGGGTGGGTTTTGGGGCCGCCGGGGAGTTTGGGAGAATTTGTAAAAGGGCATTTCCCCCTAATGTATGTATTGTAGGTATTGCTACATTGTGACTTTCTTGGAAGGATTAGAATACTATGGGTAGAGTTGCGCGGATCTTGAAATTGCCGTCGTCGTAAACTTGCGGCTTGTAGAAGTTCAAGGGGGGGCATTTTTGCTCGGTTCGGTTGTTCGGGGATGTCTTCGTAGAACGGCGTTTTGTTGGAGCCTTTTTTTTTTAATTTTATTTTTTTTGGTTGGAGGGGTGTTGTTGGGAGGGGTCTGAAAATTATCAGATGGTGGAGGAGTTAAAGTTATCAGATCCGTTCAGAGACATGCAAGCCACTCCCAGCGCCGGGTCTAAGAAGCGGACTGGCTAGGCTGGG